CATCAGATTTTAATCAGATTGTACCATATGTTTACATGGATGTTGTATTGTGTTTAAAACGTGCTACGCACTTTTCTACCCATTACATTTTGTACGATAGGCTGAGGCCCTGTACAGAAATAAAATTACATGATACAACATTGACTAATACTAAAATGAATAATTGTAGACAGATTTCGACATGAAATCGTGTCACTTTTATGTGCGCTAACATTCGCGAAGAGCGAAAAAACTCGTAAGTAGCTTTCTACCTTAAAATACTTAGACAATAATGCTAAGATAAGTACAGTCTTGTCTTTTTTGTGTACAACATTTGCGGTAGTGGATCAATGGTGTGGATGTGTTTGTCTGTAGGTGGGGAATGGCTCTGGACCCCTTCTCTAAAATGGTAAAATAGTTTAAAGATGTTATGTGAAATATCTTACCAACGTAACACAATTGAATTTAAAACTGATAATACAATAACAGAGCTCAAAAGCACTTTTTGAATATTATAAAATTCACACATTTCACATCAAATATATAATTTTTGTTTTCGAACCCCCTATTCAAAAGTGCTGGCTACGGGCCTGGCCAGTCTAACGACTTTTCTATTAGACTCGGTATCAACATTTTGCTGACTTGTAAATTTTGTTCACCAACATTTTTCATGCCAAACTTTACATATTATTACATGTAATACGTAATCACCATCGTAACACCGACTACTAGCAATTACATGTAGTATTACATTCGCGAGCTTTCTATCCATATTGCAGAAGTTAGTTAAAGCGCCCTCAGTCGACCACCTGTCGGTTGTTATGTTCGGTTTCCAAGTTGCTGATTGAAATTCAAGATGGCGGACATTCAAAGCAAACTGGACTTATTCTCAATCTGACACCAAGCGTTTCGTGAAAGTTTGCGGAAACTATTGTTTTCTACATCACGTCTATAGCCCGTTAGTCGCCATGATGTTACGTCGATAACGTACACGTCAACATATTTCTGTGATCTTCAAAGGGAATAAGCAGTTATTACCAGTGCTGCAAGGTCAGCGGAGCTCGAGCTCAACTTGCCGTGTAATCGATTCTGGGTCTACCGTACATAGTGCAGTACCGGGTCCACATCGTCGAAGTCTTTTGACATCTCTTGTACTCTCATTCGTTTTCCATGCTCACATATACATAATGTAGATATATTCACATTTTATATGCTCCTTGCGCGGATTGACGGAAAACAATATTGTAGTCGCATCAAACTTGAAGACATTCCTCTCAATCGTCATTGTTTACCACTAACAGTTTACCACCATAAATACCTGGTGTCAAAAGGAAATTGCCGCAACAGTTGACCCGCGTTTCAGGTGTTGATGGGTTAATGATTGTTCATAACCGCCGCGATGTCTTTCTATACTTTACTGTAAATGACGAAAATGCCTGGCAATCCATGCAGTAAAGACCAAGAAACAGAGTATGATATGGTAAGTGGAAATGAAAAATACGTCATTTACAGTTAAAATCCAGGCTATTATTTAAAATCTAAATAATTGCTAACACGAAACAATAAACACCCAGGTAACTATGCACACAATTGTCTAAATTGATCACCAGTTAAGGCCTAATGATTTTCGGTGTCATAGCCATGTAATTGTTAGGTCCTGGTCATTTTCGGTGTCATAGGCTATATACATGTGTCTAGAATTTGTTAGTTCGTTACCATGGTTTTGGTAGTAACATCAGTCCATATATAGAAAGTACTGGGAAACTTACATAATGCAATATTATCAATACATATCTCAGTATTTATAGTTGGGGGTTTTATGGGGGGTGTACTTGATGTCATGAATATGCATGAATTACAATCTACATCTACACAATCTCCCTCATTTGATTGTAATCCATTTGCTAACACTTTTGAATTGTTTCGTTAAACTATCAACTCCAAGTACAGCTTCAGAGTATGTTATATGAAGGCAGAAAAAAAACTTGACAAACATTTCTAACATTTCTCTCTTTCAGAACCCATATGAAAGTTTTATGCGCAACCATCTCAGACATTATGGATACTACACAGGTATGTAACACATATTACATCAATTCTACAATGGAATCATCTTGAGCCGCCAATACAGATGTAGATAGCGAATAATAAGAATTCAAAACTTATTGCTATAACTCAACTCTGAGCATAACTGTTTTTGATTTGTTTTCTATTCACAATGTTAAACAATGACTACTGTAAAATCTGTATTAGAAGCCATGGTTTCTATTGAAATGGTACAATGCAACAGAGGGGATGCGGTTTCAATTAGAGCATCTACGCAAATGAGAAATTGTGATTATTTGGGTCTCAATAGTTCAAAAAGAATGGGTGGGACTTATATTAGATTTCAAGGTGATATTTTTGAATTCTTGTTGAAAACAGCGAGTCCCATTGCTTTGATGCTATACATATTGTTCATTTTCTAATGATATCTTCTGTTCTTTAATTGAAATTTGCATTGCTAACAGCGGAGCTATCTCAGCCGATAGGCTGCTTGTTTATTATCCAATTGTCAGTCTGTTTTAATTTGGAAATTTCAAGCACACATTTTCATGAAGTCAACTCCACTGCTTTTATTAACAATTACACAGACTTTATATGCATGCACTTATTATTGCAAGATTGCTCTGCTGAATCAATGGAGCTATCTCGACTGTTAGGTTGCTTGTTTTATTATCCGTCAGTCAGTAATAATTTAGAATTCTGACATATATTTACAGGAAGCATTATAAACATTAATATGATCTTATTCACTATTATTTTCAAACTGGCACTGCACTGTATGTATCGCCGCAATCATGAATACTTTTATTTAGATAGAACTATAGGGCATTGTTGTTACAGGTCGTAATGAAGGTTATCGTACCAATATAACTGTCTTTGAAGACTGGGAACGCACTCACGGCTATGATGTCAGTGACAATGAATCAGAAACTGAATACGAGAACCAAGCACTGAAAGACGAAAATGCGGGTAAGTCCTGGCATTGATGTCAAATACGTGATGACAGCATATCCTGTTTCATGTGTTCTAGTCTTTGTCTTGTATGATGCTTCTGTCCATCTAGATAAAACGCCTCAATAAAACGAGAGATTTCCTTGACTACACTTCTTGAATGTATCTATTGTGTTTTCAAGCTAGCATTCTATTGTGGGAGTATAATTTTCATCAACTGTCTCGAGATAATAACTACTGGTCATTTGCCTAATAAAAAAGTTGTAACAGTCAGGATCTTTAATATCAGTGATTTTGGGAGGCATTCTTATTGCGCAGTCAGTATTAAATATCACTATCAGTTGTGTACAGTAGTCCAAGATACCATAAGTGTAATACTTGTCTCTACTCTACGTGACTCTAACAAATGACTGAGTTGAATGGATTCCAACTCTTAACAGAGTGTAGGTACAACTATATTCTTTTGAATTTTTTTGTTATTTATTTAAGTATGATATGCTATATTTATTTACAAGTTACTTCTAAAAGTGAGATGTGACTGAATTTGTGAAAATATTGTGATTGAATATATACTTAAATTATCACCACCAGAAATGTTTGCTATTTCAGTATATTTTATGATTGTGAAATTTGTCACTCATAAAATTGAAGCATTTTATATTGTATTGATTGGTTATGTCAATGTAAAATATGCATGAAGGTAGTATGATGATCGTATTGACTGACAGGGAGAAAAGAAAAGTGTTATGATATGGCTTTTTATGGATGGGTGGATGAATTTTATTGTTTTTGGTGCAGACAAAGGATTGTAAGTGTGGTTATGTTGAGTACAGTGTGGTTATTGATAATAATAATGTGTTTTCTTCTTTCCAATCGCTTTCCACCTCAATCAGACAACCGGTTTCAAGATGAAAGAACAACTCAGCTTGTTTTCAGTTACCACCAGGGTAAAATGGTGAGTTTCTCTTGTATACACACTGCTTCCATTTGTAGACACAATTGCCTTCTATAAATACAAGCAATTGTTGTAACATGTTTCTTCATTCATGCCACGCACCTTTTGTTAACAGTGGGTAACAATACTCACGGTGAAGGTTTTGACAGAAAGGCACATTTGATAAAAAAATTGTTCTCTGTTTGTGTGTGTCTGTGTGTGCATGCCTGCTTGAGTTTTTTTTTTTTGAACTCTAGATTCTGTAAAAATTGACATGTCCTGGCTCATGTCACCGTGACAACCTATTCAACTTTAAGCATAAAAAATTCATTGTTGCCTTTATAACAGTGTCAGATATATGCACGTAGCAATTCTTGCATAGTCACCTGTTGCTAAAATTAGCTACACACATGTTATACTGTGCATATAAGATGGATATACTGTGTATGGTGTTTTGTTAGGATTGTTCAAGACTGTACTGTCTAGCACTGACCTTTTGAGTGCAGAGGTAAACTTGGGTCACCTTTCACAAAATTAACCTACATGTTTCTTTTTTCAATAATTCTCATCAAGACTTGTTCCCACGAAGAAATTGTATCCATTTTGATCAAAATTAAAAAAGAAATGAGAGGAAATACATAAAAATGAACAAAATACTGCACTGTTTGGGTGTTCAAATGGTGTAATAACAGTTGGAAAAATAATATATCTGAATAATTGTATACTTCTTTATATCTAGTATTTTGTAGCCAATTAATTAAATAACTATGCAGACAAAAACGTTTTGAATTACCAGGCAATTTATTGAAGTGTATGAAATGCATTGATTGCGCATTTTGTAACCTTTCATCCAGAGCTCATCTTAATTAATAGATGCATTTATTAATTATCAATCTGTTCACAATTAATCAGATTAATGATAAGTAAAAAAATGGAATTTGTTCAGTTCTTTTGTTTTGTTAAAGAGCTGATATGCTATTATAAAATACTTTGAAATCATGACTGCTGAAGTATTTTAGTATTACCAATACACTGAAATATTGATACTTAAATTAGACCTAGCGGTAACCAATGAAGTATGATGAGAATTGCACATATTAATTTTATTCATTTTCTTTTTATTCTAATTATTATTATTTGATTATAGGTGCCTAAACTGCGAGAACCTAGAAACCTGTATGCTCTTACCAAGGAACAAGGAGCCCAGCATGCTGCAAGATGGTAAGATGGTCTTTTTGAAATAGTGATGATCAGGTTTAGGTACACTTGCAAGTGGAAAAAAGATGGCAGCGGGATTGTGTTTGGGTCTTCAGTGGTCGCCATATATTGAAATCCAGTTTTGTCAAGCGAACCTTGAGAATTACAGTACAAGACAACAATTTACCGGGGCCCATGGGCGAAATGTTGCCATCTTGAGCGGCTAAGTCTATTTCTGATGGCCTCTAAATTATAATTTTATGTATCATTTCCCCTAATAGCGTGCATCGTGCATCACAATTTCCTACAGTTCCCTTTGCATGGCCGATTTCAACAAAATGGTGTCTACTTGACCCTTAGTTTTCACATAGCACTGCACATGACATTTTTCTTGTGTTATGTCACTTTGCCCATACAACCATACAATTGTGTTTAAAACAATATTTTAACAAGATTTTGTCATCTTCATGTAGTTATATTTGAACAAAGTAATATTAAAAATCACAGCTATTGTCGCTTAATACAATAAATAAAATAGAAAATAAAAATGGCAGTGGCCGTGACCTTGATTTTGGTGTAGTCTCATTACAGTACACTAGTTTTATTTACTTTATGTATAGTTGCTAGGCTGTATGCAATACCAGCCATTTTATATGCAAATCGGTCAATACGAATTTTCATATATGTGTAGAGGTTTTACTTAACTTAGTAGTTTCACATGTACATTGCAGGACTTCTCTTAGGAGATAAAAACAGCCTTGGAAAATGGTTCAACAGTCAAGGGTTGTAAAAATGAAATACCCTCTCCCGTTTCCAAATTGAAATCAGCACTAATGCATGTTCAGTCGGTAGTTTCAACAGGGTCAATCAAAACTAGCCTATTTGTAAGACATGTTCCTGTGATTCATTATCTTAAATTTAGACTTTGCTGGTATGTCAATGTCAGGTATGAAAATACAGGGCACATTCATTGTCAAGTTATTGGGTTATCGGACAATTCCATCTTGACTCTATATTGAGAGGTGTTATTGAATTGCTAGCACAACACCAAAACCAATTGTCGTAAGTTAACAAGCCATGAGAATTTTGTTCAGGCATTAGACAGGTGGAATTTTTATCTGGATCAGTGAGTTTAAATTAAACTAAGAAGATTAAGGCAAACCATTTGTGGATTTGCTGTAGAGTTTGGTGAACTAAACAGTTATACCACATGACAACCTGTTAATAATTCTTAATCCTGAGGATACAGACTGGTTACCCATTAATAAAAAATGTTGCAAGTAAAGCTCTATTCTATAGATAGAAATAGGAAAAGATAATTATGTTTCCGGCATATTTTTCAGCTTTTTAACAATTTGTCATGCCAAAAATTTTCAAAAAGAGCTTTTTTGTCTACAAAACAGCTTTTGTTGCATCGGGAAACCTAATATTATTGCATTGGTAGAGGCATGTGTACAGACATAGGTAAAATATAATTTGATCAAATCAGCGACTATAAAACCAAAATATGCTGGTTTCAGTCATATACCTTATGTTTCAGCAGAGTGAACATGGCTGTGGTAGAGAGCATATTGGAATGCTAATAACTAATCACTACAGCAAACAAATTGAGAAAGAGATTACTCATTGTCTATTAGTTAATAACTGAATACAAATCACAGTTACACAGTAATTATGCACAATTATACACATAAATTTCACTTGTCAAGATGGTTTGATCTTTTTTCAGGAAAAAAAACTTGCATGACATTCTATGCTATATTGACCTCGCCATTTTGATGTGTAGTTAATAAATAAACTCACAAAACATAATGTTTAATGAAATTTTCTGCAATGGGTTTGATGTCAACCAGAGAGCGGACAATTATTTGGATCTCTCAGTAATTCAAGAAAAATAAACACTTTTTGTTCATCCAAGTATTCATTCCTAAGATTAATTAATTATTATTATTATACTGTAATTTCTTTCAATTTTTGTGAACTTCATAAGTTGGTAAAAATTGTGAAATTTTGTGGCAGTGACAATTTCTCTGTCATGGAGTTCTATGAGTATCATCTACTTTTGTCCCTACAAATGTCATAAAATGCTCAAATCATGAAAATTTCTAATAGTAAAAATTGAATGATTACAGTATTGCACAGTAAAGATTAGAAAGACAGAATTCAATAACACAGTTTTCTTGCTGTTATCTTTATAGGCCATCTTCTATTGAAGTATTACCAAACAGAGTATCACACATAGAGTATGTACCATCTGAACCGGAGCCATTCTATGAACTAAGTAAGTGTACATACAGACACACAACACATCTATACTACAAACACTATTTATAGAAGTCATGTTTGTTTTTAACACATAAATAATTAAACAATGCTTACTTTAATTTGGAAACTATTCAGAAAAAGTCCTTTTTTTTTTAGAATTTCCTTTAAATAATGAAAGATAGTTGCAAGAATAAACAACATTCTTAAATAAAACTAAAGTTTAACAAAATACATGTCTTTTTTTCTTTCTAGCGGGTTTAGAAAAAACACCAATGCCATTACCTGAAGGAGAAGGAAGGGTGGTTTATTATAACCCAGCACCAAAGGATGCTTATGTAGGTATTGTTATTATAACAATAGAGTAGTCAGAATTAAATGACCTCTATAGTAGGAGAGTCAAATAAACAAAGTTGCACTAAAGATGTTTGTAACAATAGAATAAGAAGACAATACAAATACTGGAATGACTATGGTGTACAGTTATTTAAATTGGAAAGAACCTCTGATTCTCTGATATAATGTAGGGTTAAAAAAACAACAACTTAAAATGAATCACTAGTGTATGCCAATAATGGTATTCATTTATAATAGAAATGTTGAATATTGTATGACTGCATATCAATCTACAGGAAATTGCTCTTTTTCTGACAATAACAGTTACTATGGTTACTAATTAAGTTTCTAATAACAAGAATTTGAAAACAGTATTTTAAAATGATTTTGAGGGTTTGCTGTTTTTTTTTCTTTGTACCATATTAATAATGCATCTCTAATAAAATCACACATAAACCAAAAATCATATTTATTGTTTTCTTAATCATTGAATTATGACCATAGACATACCTGCCATTTTTGTGAGTGCTTTAGATGATTTGACATTGTATACAGAATATTGTTATTATGTTGTTACTACTTGAATATAGTTAATTGTTCTACAGATGTCTATCTTAAGATACAGATCTACTTTAGGATAGATGGCATATAAATTACTGCACTGTACGTTTGTTGTATTAGTGTTGCAATCTCACCTTATGTGAAACATCACTACCAGAGATCGTTGTTTTTGCTAAAAAAAAATGAAAAATTAGAAGTAGATATCCTGCCCAGATTTTTCTACATATTTCATTTTGAGATTACTAACTCTGTGAGTGTCTATTGTTTACAAATCAATTTATGATTTACAGGTTTGAAAAGTATGAATGTGACTCCTAATGGGTTAACAACCATAATTATTGTCTGGTTTTCAGTTCATAAGGTCACGTGTTGGTGGAAACCGTAATGGCTGTGTGAATCGAGCAGTTAAACTGACTGGTCCAGATGATACAACACTCATATTTGAATCCAGATTTGAAGGCGGCAATTTATACAAAGCTGTGCAAGTGTATGTATTATCCCTAAAATTAGCATTTTCTTGGATTTACTACTTTTAAATAAAACTGAATTTTTTGTTTATTTATTAATCAAATCAATTACTTTGTTGTTGATTTGTAGATCAGAATACGAGTATGAACTATACCTTCATTACGATCTGTATACAAAGAAGCATACCCAGTGGTATTACTTTCGTTTTCAAAATACAAGGACTGGTGTTCGCTATAGATTTACTATTGTTAATCTTATGAAGGTAATGTACAGTGCTAATTCAATTATTAAATATTACCAAAATAATATTTTCATCAATTTTCTAAAGAGTGTCTGTATAATGATGATTTACTATATACAATGTTATATACCTGTAGCCTGGTAGTCTATACAACCAAGGGATGAGACCTTTACTATATTCAGAGTATAACGCTGCTCACAATAAAGTCGGATGGAAGCGATGGGGCGAGGATATCAAGTATTATAAGAATAACGTTAGGTTGGTGTTTTTATTTGTTTGTTTATATCGAGAAAAAATAATATTCTGTGCACAAATTCTTTGTGTTTTATTCTTGAAATTAATCAACAATCGCCAAATTGTTTTTTTGCAGGCGTACCAATGTGAAAGGAGACAAATCATATTATTCGTTAACATGGACTGCCACGTTTCAACGGAACAATGACATTTATTACTTTGCTCATTGTTACCCATATTCTTATTCAGATTTACAGGTAAGAAGTTCAGCTACATTGTTATCTTTAAACCCTTTCACAAGGAATGGGTGAACATATAACTTTGTACAAAGGCTATCATTGTTTGAGGAGAAGTGTAAGATCTTAGCAAAGCTACATTTATTGTTGTACAATGATAATCTGAAGTGGTAATAGTAGTCAGAATTAGAAACCAGACTTTTCATATTCTGTGAAATAAGTGTATTTAAGTGGCATTTTTACAGGTTTACTAGTTTTTATTGTCCATGCATGCTCACTGTTTGTGTGTTTAGTTTATTTTGTAACTCCATTATACCATCAAGTATTAGCAAGTGAAGGCTTAAGGGGTGCTTCCAGAATCTGTGACAGTTGTGAAACTCTGTTTTATTGTCAGCATTATACATTAATAGTGCCCTCTAGTGGCAAGGTTTTAATATAGAAGTAGTATCTTGACAATCTAGCAACATTATCTGCACAGTCCTAATATTTGTATTGAAAATTTCACGGATACTCTAAATTACATTCATTCAATTCTCTGCACTATTTTTTATTCAATCATATCTTTTGTTTTTGTTTCAGAGATACTTACTAAATTTACAGAATGACCCTGTACGAAATCGGTTTTGTAAACAGCGTGTATTATGTCGTACATTAGCTGGTAATTTAGTCTACGTATTAACTATCACATCACCATCAATCAACCCACAGCATGCTAAGGTATACAAAACTACTGTTTTTGACTCCCATGTGCGAAGCACAAAATGTGAGTCTTTGCAGTTAGTGTGTCTGTATGTGTGTATGTGTGTATGTGTGTATGTGTGTATGTGTGTATGTGTGTGTGTCCGACTGTTCCACTGCTATCTCAAGAACCATACATCGGTTTTTGATGAAACTTGGTGCATAGATGCTCTGGGCCAATGCGCAGATTTGATTAGGTTTTGGTAAAAATCCATGCTCGTTAATTACCTAATTTGCATGATAATTAGCTATTTTTTAGCTGTTCTATGACTGTTCCACTGATATCTAAAGAACCACTCATTGGATTTTGATGAAACTTGGTACATAGATGCTCTGAACATATGCGCAGATTTGATTAATTTTTGGTAAAAATCCGTGCATATTAATTACCTAATTTGCATGATAATTAGCTATTTTTTAGTGGTTCCATGACTGTTCCACTGATATCTTAAACAACCACTCATTGGATTTTGATGAAACTTGGTACATAGATGCTCTGTGATGAAC